AGCCGCTAAACTACCTCCCCTGCCCAGGTGATGTTTTTAGATACAATACCAAAAGTCCGGTCCCTGAAAAAAAATCAATAATTGGATTTTGTCAAAGTTTAAAATATTTTCTGTGACTGATACTGTTAAGAGAAGGAAAAAAAATAAGCTAAAAACTGGGGGCAGGGGGAATATGTATAAGTCACATATCTTGTAGATTCATAATCAGAATATATATAGAATAACACAACAGGATAAAAATAACCCAGTTTTAGAATGGGTAAAAGGTCTGAACTGACAGTTCAACAAGGAAGATGTATGGTTGGCATGTAAGCATATGAAGAGATGTCCAACTGTGGAGGACCACTTGGGTGACTCTCCTTGAAAGAGAAGCAACTGTCTCCATTTTGGTCAGCAGCCTGACCCAACTTCCATGTATTAACATGGACTGAGCTGGCTATGACTTTTCCTTATCCCTTCAATTGGCTTTAAGCAATGCATATTGATCTAGCATGGTGCTGATGGTAGTCTTTGAAGACACCACCTACTGCTCCCTAGTGTGAGCCAGGTCAAGACAGGATGAAAAGCCAATGCTCCACACTGTAAGACGGGATCAGATAGAGGCTATGACTTCCTGGGGCTTAAAAGATTACACATCAGAGCTGAAGCACCAATCCCAAAACATTAGATATTATCTCAGTTATGTAATGCAGGTTACTCTCTGCATGTCTTTCTCTCTGCATATTGCAGAGATAAATGCAGGCCTCCTACCTAGCCCAGCTCATGGCACTCACCTACTTCCTGCCACTCTCAGGCACTCATCCTAAAGCCACTCCTCTTACATGAATAAAATCCGGGTTCAGGCTTGTGTCGAGGACTTTGTTCCTGATAGCCATCATCATGGCTGGACTTAGGACTCCTTGGCTCCCCATAACTACAAAGATGCTTTAATGTCTATTCTCCTTGCTGTGGGTTGTTCTGGATGTGGTAGATTGGAATTAACTTGATGGGATTCCAGTAACTTAACCATGGGGTTACAAAGATAAACTTCCCAGACCAAGACTAACAACAGGAAAGCTCTCTATATTCAATAGTATTTGTCATGAGGGAAATGAAAATTAAACTGACTATTGAATACACCCTAATAGAACAGTTAAAATTCAAAGAAACTGACAATACCACATGCTAGCCAGGAAGAAGAACAATAAGAGTGCTCAGTTAGTGCTGGTGAGAATGAAAACAGTACAGCCACTTTGAAAGATAACTTGGTGGGGCAAGGGAGATAACTTAGTAGAAAAAGCACCTGCCTGGCAAGTGCAGGGTCCTGAGTTCAATCCCTGGTACCTCCACAAAAAAAAAAAAAAAAGATAACTCAGTGGTTGATTACAAGCATACATTAACCATACAATGCAGCAATCTACTCGAGGTATTTACTCAGGTGAATTGGAAACTTATACCCACACAGAATATTTGATGGTTATAGCAACTTTATTGGCAATTACCCCAAACTGGGAAAAACCATCATGTCCTTCAATAGATAAATAGAAAAGCAAAGGATGGCATGTGTGTATAATAAGGATACTTTTCAGTTAAAAAAAAAAAGCTATAAAGTCACACAACAATATCAATGGCATTTTCTTGGGGCTGGTGAGATGGCTCAGTGGTCAAAAAACACCTACTTAGAACAAGCTTAGCAAAGTACAGGGACCGCGGTTCAATCCCCCAG